AAAGCCTGCACGTTGGAATGTACAGTGTGCACTAGAATCCACAAGTATAATTTGCTCATGTAAGCATCCATTTATAAATACTTTAAAAACAAACCATTTATTTTTAGTGAATTTATTTGTTGTCACAAGAAGAAACTAAACTTTCTTAAGAAAATTAAGAAGAGCATTTTTTGAATTTTCTTCGGTCTAATAGTGAATATATTTAACCCAATCAAAACACAAATAGACCTAATGTACAAAAACGAGAATTAAAATAAATAAATATAGGTATGGAAGAATAAATTGTGATTCACTTCTGTACAGACGAGGTCTCCTTCAGTCCATGTATCATCGCCTCCATTACGAAATAGGTTGGACTGAACCAGGAGCTAATCTTAAACCTACTCATTAAATATATCACAATGATCACTATCTAATAAGTGCTTGAAATAGCGGTCATTTTTCTCGTTTTGTAATCCATTTGGTGAATTTAGTTCAAACAGGCTTAACATTACCAATAAATGATGAATAAGAACTGCATTCAACGTAGGTCACCTAAGTGGATGAAAGACTAATAGTTAGATTTTGCCGCAATTATATAAGAGTCACGATACTACGGAATTTCACTTAATCTTACCTTCTAAAAGGTATTATCACTTACGGTGGACTACATTATTTACTAAAGAAAATCTACCGCGACTATCGAAACCTGCTCTATATACATTTTAGTTTAGTATGTTGTAAAAGCAAATAAAAATCCCGTCATAAAAAGTGATGCAAGAGGCCCATTTTGAAGTTCTCGTCTGCTATGTGACCGACTGGTAATCGTGGCAGTTTGGCGTAATGGTAACATGTCGAAATAAAATCTGCAATACCCGGATTCGATTCCCGTTGGGAGCGCTGGTGAAGCCCAGGCAAGATCGAAATTGAAGTACACCCTGAACAAGAATATGTAAACAAATCCTTTCCTTAATTGCTGAATGCCCATCCAAGGTTTATATCAGAGTCTGAATGGCTAATATAATCAGAATGTAAGCATACATGGATACAACACGAAAACTTATCAATATACTTTCTTGGAAGGTATTCGCTGGTTCATCAAATAAACAAATTCACAATAATTTTTAACTGAATATATATAATATTCATACATGTTTCTTAATTGTAGATATGACGAATTTTTACATAGAAGATAAGATGTGTCATGGATCATTCTTTCTTTATTATTTGTATTTAACCTAAAAGGAACGTTACCAAGCCAAAATTTTCTATAATCACGGTCATTTGGGGAAATTCCTCGAATTTCAAGTGTTATAATCGCGATTTCTTATATGCTGAAAAGTCCTAGTTCAGGTAAAACTGATCAAATTTCCATTTAATCTTCAAAATAACTGAAGCTTTGCAAAGACAAGAAAAAATCTAGCGATGACCCTAAACATTTAAAAATTAGTAGGCATTTACAAACAACACTAAAAACTTATCTACTTTATCACTCATAAATATTAGACTATAAGCCTTTTCATATGGATCCTATTAGGCCGGTGACGATACTGGGAAGCATCTGGGAATATATAAAGTCCACGGTCCAGCGCTGGAAACTATCATAGATATTATCACCGAATATTCTGGGGAAGGGGCGCGTAATTAGACCAATTAGACTAAGAAGCCCCTATTTGCTTTCCTATTCTTGAGTTTATCGGAATCAATAGAATCCTTCCTAGTTTAGTCACAGGATATCACTTAATAGTATAGGCAGGAAGAAGAATAGCAAAAGTCACTGCTAAAAGCGACTATACTAGTAAGGAAATCTAGCAAAATTTATGTGGATGAATAGATCTTATAATCAGGTAAAAGGTTTTGCCTAACTGATGTCTCAAGAAACTAACTAGGTATTCGTTCGGGCTGCTTGTCCGATAGTACCAAGAAGCGAGTCATCTGGACAACCGGTGCTGCCGCAAACTTCGTCCTGTCCAATTCGATTCGTGTAATCGTGTTCACGCGTAACAACAAAGTAGACTGGTGGCCCGATGTTCAGATAAGTAGAAAGGGCGTTGAAGTAGTCTAACACGTAGGAGTCGTTAGGCATTGAGAGACGCTGATCAAGGCCAATACGCAAATGAGTTGGTATCACGGCCAGTCCAAAGCATATCCATAATACTGTCAGGCTAAGGAGAAGGGGACGCGCCCACCCAGACAAGATTAGAGGGGCTAGATAGTCGGTCGTAAATCGGTAGAGCCAAGGCCGATCAGAGGCTCTTCTCTCAGGCACTATAAGTTTATGAAAAAAACAATAGTAAATATGAATCAAATAAAGGATGTAGGAAGTGCAAAAAAGGGAAATGTATAAAGTAGTAGTGGCTGACCTAAAGGCGATTCTGCTTCGTTTGTGCAAGGCTCTTCAGGACTCAGACCGAAGCAACAGAGGACATCAAATTTCATTGCCTATCAATTAGAACAATAAACATATTTTCGATAGTTGAAGGTGGAGAAAATGGGTGCAAAAAATAGGCATTAGTAGGCAATATTCGTATAAGTTTTGCGACATGCTGACTTGATGCAGATATCGTTGTGCCTCGAGCAATTAGAGAGATAAGGTAAGGAAAGTGTACAGCTATATAGTGGCAATACTATGGAGTGCGAATTTGTGGATGATAAAGGATGGGGATAGAGTAACCAAAGAAATGTCACGTAGTGGCGCAAAAAGAAAAGGGAACAAAGATCAGCTGCTGTATAGGAGGGGATTGTGAGGTGTGGTATTAATGCCATATAGGTTCATGCCAAATTATTTATATTTATGCGGGACAAAAATTCATGAATAAACAGACTTGGTGATAATTTGGGATATGCGCGGACACTATGTGAGCGCGATCCTGCTTTTTGCGCATTATCAACCGACTTTATCATGACGCAGATACGATGCCTGAGAAAGCGGCGCAAAGAGAATGGGCATTGAGGAATTCTCCAACCTAAGGAAGACCCTCCTGCCTCTTTGCTAGGAGATACTTAATATATTCCCTTGCTCAATGAGAGATAACTCTTATTGAAAGAGAAGCGTGGGCTCAATGTGTCAGTCAATGCACAAGA